GGGGGGGGGGGCTCGCCATTTAGGGGCCCACAGCCCACCATAATAATTTTTTCGTATTTAAAATTTTTTAAAATTTTCTTTCATTTTTGACTTGATGTTTGTTTTGTAAAAAAAGATTGCCGTAGCTGCGGTTGGATTATTTTTATTATATAGATACCACCCCACGCTCTTGTTTTTAAACCACTGTGAAAGCCGAGTCCACTTTCTCCTACAATCAAACTTATCAAAGATAAGCAAACGGTCTAACCACTTCCATGGCTTATTTCCCTTTTCTAAATAGTAAAATGGGGGTGATCATAAGTTCCTTTTAATAAATGTGCACTAAAAAAAACAAAAAAAAAAACAATTATTTCTCTTAATTATTATTTTTTATAAAGTACTTACTAAAGAATGACATTGTACAAAAATGAAATGAATTTAAAATTAATAATATAAATAAAAAAAAACAACATAAAAATAAACATAACACGAGACAACATAACTTATACAAAACGTTCATGGTTTATATTCTTTTGACCGACTTAGATGTCGAGATCTTACAGCAGAAATAAATAAAACTGAATTCACAAAACACACTAATGTACTTACACACATGAAATGATGTTGTAATTTGTTTTAATTTAATTTTTTAATGTTTTTTTTAAATAAAACCCGAACAGGCCAGCAATGAGTGTCCTATGTTCGTATTCTGTTTGTGTATATATATAGGCCTATATAATATATATATAGGCCTATAATATATATATATATAGGCCTATATAATATATATATATAGGCCTATATAATATATATATATATAGGGCTATATAATATATATGTAGGCCTATATAATATATATATATATATATAGGCCTATATAATATATATATATAGGCCTATAGTATATAAATATAGGCCTCTATATTATATATATAGGCCTATATACTGTATATATAGGCCTCTACGATATATATATATAGGCCTATATAATATATATAGGCCTATACAATACATGTATAGAGCTATATAATATATATATAGGGGTGGGAGGGCTAAAATTTTTGTTTGCGGGGTGGCCCTTTTTTTCTAGTTCCGCCACTGCATGTTGCTCATGCTTTTTGTTTATTAGTGTCGTCACTGTGGCAAATAGCTGTCGCCAATGTATCTAGGCCTAACCCCGCTGGCGAAAACACGCCAATCAGGTTTATCTAGGTCATGACACAGCATGTGACCTGTTTACGCTCTTCTCAAACACTTAGCAGCATTTACTCATTCGTCTGTGTTTACAGCTAGCACAGATTCTCGAATTGTAAAGTTTAAAAACGTTGCGGCTGTGCCTGTAAACACACTGTATTTACAAATATAATTTTTAACACTCATTTATATTAAAAGATGCAGTGATCTAGATCTAAAGTGTTTACGATAAGTAGTATTTAAAAGGCATAGTTACTAGTTATTCAATATTAATCCCCAGCCATCTATACGTTTGTGATGTGTTACTTTAAGTCAGAGGCGTAGCGAAAGGGGATGGGGGTGGGTGCACATGTCTCCGGGCGTCGACCCTAGGGCGCCAAAATTGGTTAGAAAATAATTATTGAAAGTGTGTTCTCTGTGCGCAGGGAGGGTTCGCTAGGCCTCTGCATTAAGTTATATATCTCTTTTGTTTATTATTACAAAATAAATATAGAGCTTTCCAGATTGCTTAGATTTACATCAGGATATCTTGTATAACTTGTAATTGCATAAAAAAAGTAACCGTACTTATTTGAATGAAAGTGGTGATGTCAAAGAAAGCAAACCAAAATTATTTTCAAAGGGAAAAAATGTGACAGTTTATTTCTTCTAGAATACTAGTCAAGGAAACCATAACAGTATTAACATAAATATATGTGTACACAATAATGTTGAAATTTATTTTTTTATTCATGTTTTTTTTAAAGAATTTATATTATTGAACTTGTGATACTTTGAATAATTTAAATATATTGTAGCTATTCCATTTGATTCGAACGTGTCTGTTTTGTGTCTGTTTTAATGGCATAAAAACTAGTAAACGTCATTATTTGAATGAATGTGGCTATGTTAAAGAAAGCAAGCCTTAATGCTCATCAAATGCATACAAAGTATTAGACAGCTTGTTTCTCCTAAAAATACTATTTTAAAAAATCATAACAGTATTAATTTACATCTATGTTTTTAAAGACTATTTTTTGTTCAAATGTATATTTGACTGTATCATTACACACTTTATATGTTTTAACTTGTTTAATTATTTCGATTATTTTATTATTTCGACTAATTTTAAAATGAACAATGAATTATATTTGTAGCTTTAAAAATTATTTTTCGGCGAATAAGTTAAATAATTACAGCTAGATAGAATAATTGTTTAAAGTTATATGCTAAATTGTGGAAATTCCTTTTGAAAAAATTGTGTCTATTGACGACATCCTATAAAATTTATATCAATTGTTTCTGTAATATACGCATTTTGTCCATTTATAACAGAGCTTGAAAATAAAACTAAAAGAACAAACCACTTTTAAATGTTTTTCAGTCTTAATTTATGGTAATTGGTGAATCGTATAGTTTATTGTTCGACGTTCTGGTTATAAATACCAGATACATACCATTCAATTGTGCATAGGAGATTTTCGTGAGCATGAGATAGATGGGGAATGGGAGAAGACATACGTACTGTTGCTAGTCACAAGGATAAAGGGTAAAAGCAATACAAGCCTAGCACCGTCAGATCAAGGTTTGGGCTTGGGGTGGGGGGGGGTGAGTACCAGAGAACAAATATTGTGTATGGGGAAGATCAGAACTTTATATTCGCAGAAGGCTAGCGTGAGGGAACAGTAGAAACACAATTTTTAGGGTTTAAATACAAACTTTAACACAGTATAGTATCATACATGTAATTATTATACATTTAAATAAATCAATTAAACTAGTTTAGATATAAATTTAAAACTTTTAAAGAGACCAACCATGTTGATTATGGGACGGCTTGGCCTAAAAGGTAGAACACTAGGCTCAGACTAGGCTGCTAAACCGAAAGTCCCGTGTTTGAATCCGGGTCCAAGTCAGTAGAACGTCCCTGAGTCCACCCAACTCTGATGGGTACCAAACTCATGTCTGGGAAAGTAAAGGCGGCTTTCGGGTTGGGCATAGGGCTGATCACACCTTCTCTTCATATGCCGTGATCTAGAAACATATGAAATCTACTTCATCTGCCCAATGGGTCGCTAAGCCTTAAGATGATTATTTACTTTAAACCGGTTGATTACATATTCGACAAAAAGAACATTCTATGTCAAGGAAAATCATGCCGATCTATCCAGTCTCTACACTTGATGCTCATTTAGACAATGTGTTTTCCTTGATGGTATAAAATAACAAAGTCGACCATCAACCTGACATAGCTAGAATATAGTGTGAAATGACGTAACCTATACAATTGTAATTCATCACTTTCATACGTCAAGCACATGTTTGTTTATATTGACAACGTGTTGGACAGATTTTCGACGTTGGGTAGCCATAGAACATTAAGATAGTTGAGGTTTTTGACTTTCTAAAATTACGTTTATACATATTATTAGCAAGTGCTCGAATAATTAATGAGTTCAGCGGTTAACCACCTAACATAACCTGTACATGGATTAGCAAGATTTTGGAAAATCAGGTAGTTGGTTGTTCGACTAACTAAAATTGGATTGTACATATCATCAAGACATAGGACAATATTTTAGTAGAGAATACAACCATCTAACATTACATGTAGATGTAGTAGCAGGTGTTAGAATATACTGTTCGATGTTTAAAAACAAACATTACCAAACGGCGCCGAATAAATCCCACCAACAACATGACAGTGTTCTGCATAGTAATTACAATGTTGTGGGCAATATGTATGAGTGTAGTTATTCTAGTGTTAGTGTATGTAATAAAAGGAGTTCTCAGTTAGACAATTTTATTTGGTTGAAAACATTCACCCTTGATAACATCAACAACAACTAAGGTTGGAGTGTTGAAGCACGTGAACTCTAGGACTTACGTGGTGAAATTTAAACGCGGTTTGACATAGCGCTGACCACTAAATAACTATACATAATGAAATTATATATTGGCCAGCCAATGCGCGCATTGGCCAATATAGCCTCTCATTGATCGACCAAAGTCCGAAACTACTTCATTTCGGCCTTTGGCCAGCCATACCGCGGACTGGCCAAGGTGGACCGGTCAAAGTCTAAAATGGCTCTTGATTTCGGCCTTTGGCCGGCCAGTCCTCATTAGAAGATCTTGAGCAGATTTTGGTTTTTTTATACCGTAAGGATCGTAAAAATTAAGTCTTAGTTGATTATTATTTAGAATTACATTGTTATTTTTACGCTTGCAGCGATTTGTTGTGCACTAGGTTGTGCAATTGCAGTAAATGTAGCCTTGGCCGCTGGTCAGTTATTGTGAAGATGCGATGGTTTGCAGTGATTTTCCTCAGTGCCAACGGGTGACAATGAGAGCAGTTTTTCGTGAAGAATTGAAAACTCACTTCTAGCATATAGTTTTTTTAGAACACCATGTTCCGTTCCTAGCTTGTAGAAAGCGCCCTCGACGCTCATGACAACTGCAATGACACTTCGGGGATCACCGCGACCTCTGTCAACATCTGGAATACGGATGCGACCAATATCTCCCACTTCCGCTTGTTTACATTTTGTTAGCATCTTAGCACCTTGAGTTTGCAAGGTAGTATGAGCTGCTGACCTGTTGTCCATGGTTTCTTGTTTATTGTGACATATTCTGCGAGTACTGTTCCCTCCATACCCTTCGTCTGCTTCATTGACTGTTCCGCATATTGCATGGACATCGTTGCTATAGGATCCACAGGAATGGGCTGCACTACAAAACACCACCACCCAGAAGATTAATATCTGTGACACTGAATGGAGGTTAAGTTTCACTTTCAGTTGCCTCTCACCCCAGTCTAGGAAAACCACTTCACACATTGTCCTTCCGCTCGCAGTGTCAAGCGCTGGGACTATTTTATTAATTCTAATGTAGGTAATGTAGTGCAACACGTTCTATTAGAAAAGGTAAGTCAATGTCCTTATCTCATGTAAAAGATTTACAATAGAGTATATACTTATGTATAATATTTGTATTTAATGTAGGCCTAATATATATATATATATATATATATATATATATATATATATATATATATATATATATATATATATATATATATATATATTTAATATTAATAATAATATATAGTAAAATATATAATAATAAACCGGGAGTGATCTGACCTGAACTATCTCGAATATTAAAAATTTTAAGTACTTAAAATGGATT